ACTTCACTCCATTCCACACCTCAAACTCCCCCCCCCCCGCAAGGCAGTTGGAATGTCAGTTGCATATGGAACCTGCTGTATTCTGGTGGTGTGCAGGTCCCAGGTTCATGTTTTAAAAGCAGACTAACACTGTTCGACCAAAGCCAGAGCACTCTCCCAGAGCCTCTTTCTAGATCCCGTTGTATTTGTTTCCACAATGGGCCTTATTTCTAGTAAATAAATAACCCACTTCTCTCCCCAGTGGAGACCCGGAGCTGCATATGTCCTCCTTGCCTCCCTTTTATCCTCACAACAACCCTGTGAGGTAGGACAGCCTGAGAGTATGTGACTGTCCTGAGGTCGCCCAGCGAGCTTTCATGGTAGAGTGAAGACTCGAATGTGGGTCTCCCAGATTCTAGTCTGACCTGTTAACCACTCCACCGCTTTGGCTCTAAGCTAAAATTGCATGAAAACCAGGTTTTCCGTTGTTGGGGTAAAAGGTCTGCGTAAGCCTGAAAGCAGCATCGACGTGTCCGTGTGTCATTTGGGAGGGGAGGGGAATAGTCAGCATTATTTCAGGCCTCAGAGGTCATTTTTAATCCCCTGTCAAAGCACCATTACGGTATTCATCAAACTGGTCATTGGGTGTAATGTCTCTGAGTAGGTGCAACCTGGTTTGTACTATAGCAGCTCCCTGCATCACGGACTTTAGTGGTTAGGAGCGCAGACTCTAAACTGGGAGAGCTGGGTTTGAGTCCTTACTCCTCCACGTGCACCTGCTGGTGCGGCCTTGGGTCAGTCACGAGTTCTCTCAGAGCTGTTCTCTCCAAAGCAGTCCTCGAGGGAGCGCTCTCAGCCTTGCCTACCTCACAGGGAGTCAGTTGTGGGGCGGGGAAGGGAAAGGAGATTGTAAAACATTCTGGTAGTGAAAGGCAGGGTATAAATCCAATCTCCTTCCTCCTCCCCTTCTTCTTAGGGGTGGGTACCTCTAGCAGCACGATGGAGTGATGCTTACTGGATTGGGGGAGTACAGATATAAGAGCAGGTGGCAGGGGCCATGGCTCAGTGGTAGAGCATCTGCTTGGCATGCAGAAGGGCCCCAGGTTCAATCCCCGGCATCTCCAGTAAAAGGGACTAGGCAGGAGGTGATGGAAAAGACCTCTGCCTGAGACCCTGGAGAGCCGCTGCCAGTCTGGGTAGACAATACCGACTTGAAGGACCCAGGCTCTGATTCAGCATCATGTGTTTGTTTGCATGCATCAATAATGGTGCTCCTGCGTACATTTCCAGGACCCTAGCCCAGTATATTCCATGTAGATACTAATATGCCGTGAAAAGCGGCAGACTGGAGGACAGTATGTCTCCGTTGCACCTCCTCAGTAAGTCTCCGGACCTCAAGATCCCATAGAAGTTGCAGAACGTCTTTGCTTGGAGGCAGGCAGGCGTGGTGGTGGAAAGTGCCGTCAGGTCCTAGCTGACTTAATGGTGGCCGTGTGAGCTTTTCGAGGCGAGAGATGGTCCGGAGTGGTGTTTGCCATTGCCTGCCTCTGCGTCACGACCCTGGTATTCCTTGGAGGCCAGGAAGTCTCTGAAGGGCTGTCCCTTAGAGGAGGGCAGGGAGCTGTTCCTGTTGGCAGCAGAGGAGAGGACGCGCAAGAGTGGGTTTAAATGAAGGGCGGGAAGGTACCGGCTGGATCTGAGGAAGAACTTTTTGACAGTGAGAGTTGTGCAGCAGAGGAATCAGCTTGCCCAGGGAGGTGGAGAGCTCCCCCTCCCTGGCAGTCCTTAAGCAGCGGCTGGACCGACCCTTGTCAGGGAGGCTCTAGGCCAGTGATGGCGAACCTTTTAGAGACCGAGTGCCCAAACTGCGACCCAAAGCCCACTTATTTATCGATAAGTGCCAACACGGCCATTTAACCTGAAGACTGAGGTTTTACTTTAGAAAAAACAACCCATACATTAACTTAAGAGGATCCAAACAAAGTCAGGAAAGCAATCCCAAATGCTCTCATTTACTTAAAATTATTTGGCAGAGAATTCGACACTTTAATGAAGGTCTGGGCCTAGCTGGGGAGATGGCACGTGTGCCCACAGAGAGGGCTCTGAGTGCCACCTCTGGCACCCGTGCCATAGGTTTGCCACCACTGCTCTAGGCTGATCCTGCACTGAGCAGGGGGTTGGACTAGATGGTCTGTAGGGCCCCTTCCCACTCTGTGATTCTCTGTTTCTGTGAGATAGTAAAAAGCCCAGTGGCACCTTTAAGACGAACGAACCTTATAGTAGCATAAGCTTTTGAGAAACACAGCTCTCTTCGTCAGAGCATCTGACGGAGAGAGCTGTGTTTCTCAAAAGCTTATGCTACTATAAAGTTTGTCAGTCTTAAAGGTGCCACTGGGCTTTTTACTATTTTGCAGCCACAGACTAACGCGGCTAACTCCTCTGGGTCTATGATTCTATAAGGTCTCCCATCCGTATACTAGCCTGGGCTGTTCAGGTCAGGGTTCAGGCCGGCTTGGATATTTCTTTCTTTTTTAAAAATGAACTCATCTCCAAAGCAGGAAGACTTGGAAACAGCCAGGTCATTCTGGGAAGGGATGAGTCGGCTTCGGTAAAGCAAGGAGACCTTTCCTGTGTGAGGCAGGGACCGCCAGCATTGGTGCTAGAAAGATAAACTGGCTTGGGAGAAGGGGTGGGGTGCACGCATCATGTAATCGGAGCGGCAGAGCGCTGTCTTTGTCACAGCAGGGCAGGCGGCCAGGAAAGGTTGGCTCCGCGGCCGAGCCAAAAGAGCCCGCTCCAGAAAAGAAGGAAATCTGATGCATGTTGCTGTTTTCACCCTGCGAAAGTGAGAAGTCTCTCCAGCCCAGAGATGTGGGGAGATCACGGCCCTTCTTCTGCCTGCCTGGTGGGAGTGAGGTGCTCGGCTGCATCCGGTGTTGAGGCAGCCGTTGGAACTCCCTGCCACAAGACGCAGGGACGGCGCTCGAGTTAGGTGGCTTGGAGAAGCAGAGACAGACCCTTTCGATCCTCTCAGGACGTGCATTCGGTGAACAAATCCTGCGAATGGATCATCCGTGTGCACTTAAACGTCAGAATTTTGCATGAATGACTTCTGTGCCACCTGAAATCCTGCAGTTGTCTTTTGTTTAAACATCTTGGTCTTGTTTAAGGCTACAAAATTAAAAGCAGGTGTGAGTGTAGCATGGAACACCTCAGATATATATGGTGGTGGTGGAAGTCAGCGGGCTCAAGGATTATTCCGAGAGGGGGAAAGGCAAGTACCAGAATGTTCTTGTATAAACCCCTGGGCCACATTTCGAACACTGCACACAAGGAGACCTGCTGGGTAAGACGAAGGATTCACCTAATCCAGCGTCCTGTTGCTAACAGTGTCCATTGCTGTGAATGAGAAGCTCAGAATTGGACTCGGGAAAGTGGTTTTAGTCCTTCAGCATCTAGTGCTCGAATGTGTACTGTGTCTATTCATGGAGGTTGCATTCTGAACTGCCACAGTTATAACAATGTTTTTCGGGCTCGTTCCAAATGTCCAGCAACTGGCTATTCAGGAAGTATTCCTGTTAAGTCCATAAGCAAGACTATACCACCCCCAGTTTGGCCGAAGATCTGGAGGGTTTTTGTCACCTTTCGGGCGTGGAACCGGGGTCACTAGAGGTGTGGGGGGGAGGGAGATATTTGCGTATTTCCTGCATTGTGCAGGAGGTTGGACTAGATGACCCTAGTCCATCTCTAAGATTCTATGTTTCTACTCCTTGGGTGACTACATCTGCTGAAATGTGATAGCTGGAAAACAAGACAGAAAGGCGCATCTAAAAGATCATTCACTCAGTTATATACAGCATTTGTATTCCACCATCATCTTGGGTACCAAGGCAGCTAACAGGCTAAAAACATGCATAGCAGAAACACACATCTTAAAAACTATCAAAACCAAACAAAAAGGTACTAAAGCAAAAGCCAAGCTAAAAAACACCTAGTAAAGGTAAAGGTTTCCTTGCTCGAAAGCCAGTCGAATCCGACTCTAGGGTTACAGTGCTCATCTCCGTTTCTAAGCCGAAGAGCCAGCGCTGTCCGGAGACATTTCCATGGTCATGTGGCCAGCATGACTAGACGCCGAGGCGCACGGAACGCTGTTACCTTCCCACCGAAGTGGTACCTGTTTATCTACTTGCAATTTCTTGCTTTCAAACTCCTAGGTTGGCAGGAGCTGGAACTAGAGACGGGAGCTCACTCGGTCATGCGGCACACTCGGGTCTCGAACTGCTGAACTACCAACCTTCCACAGCCTGCAGTTCAGCGTCTTAACCACTTGAGCCACCGCAGCTCCTAAAATACACCTATGAAAACATAAAAACAGCCATTCAAACATAAGAGCAGGAAGGAGAGGTCACAGACAAAAATCTTCACCCATGACAACAGAAGGGGCCCTGTGGAAGGGAGTTCCAGAGTTTTGGTGCCGCAACTGAGAAGGCCATCTTCCCCGGTAGCAGCATCCAAGCAGGGCCCTTTAAGATGACCATAGCGGTCAGGAGTAGGCAGCCTTCCGGGCGTTCAGTTGGGGACACCTCAGTTCGTTAGGAAACTTTAGTTCCTCAAATTCGCAGGTATAAACTGAATTGTGGCCGCCTGTCTTTTCCACCCAGGGATCGGATGGGGAGCACTTCATGGATGGTTGCTAGGCAACCAGGACACGTGTCTCCCTGCCCCCGTCTCCCCAGGCAACGGGCTTCTATTACAGCAGGAGATTCTGTTTGCGGAATGTAGAACCCCCGGAATGCTTTCTGTGCAGCGGAAGGCCGAAGTTGTTGGCTTGCAACCGGCCAAGACTTCCTTCCACTTGCGGTTTTGCTTTGTTGTGGCCGATGGGATGGAGTGGGGAGAGCGGAGTTCGCCCACTCTGGGTGAGATCAACAGGGCTCCCTGTGTCTGGAGGGACTGGACCGTGTGCTCCTTTTGTAATGTTTAACTCTTCCTTCTGACTTGTTTTTCTTTCCGTCCATTAGGTAACCTTGACTGGCAGGAGGATCACGGCAGAGTCTCCTAGTAACCTCCCCGCCTCCCTCCCCCTCTCCGCCAAGGCTTGGATGACAACTGGGGACGGCCAGCGCAAGGTCGATTGATGAACGGGCCCCTGCAGTCTATAAATAGGTGACAGACGACGAGTCAGGATGGGGCAGAAGGTTACCGGAGGGATCAAGACCGTGGATATCAGGGACCCGGCTTACAGGCCGCTGAAGCACGAGCTCCAAGGGCTGGACTACTGTAAGCCCACCCGGCTGGACCTCCTCTTGGACATGCCCCCCGTCTCCCGTGAGGTCCAGCTGCTGCATTCGTGGAACAACGACGACCGCTCCCTCAACGTCTTCGTGAAGGAGGACGACAAGCTTATATTTCACCGGCATCCGGTGGCCCAGAGCACGGACGCAATCCGGGGCAAAGTGGGGTACACGCGGGGGCTCCACGTCTGGCAGATAACGTGGGCCATGCGGCAGCGGGGCACGCATGCCGTGGTGGGCGTGGCGACGGCAGAGGCCCCTCTCCATTCTGTCGGGTACACGACTCTGGTGGGGAACAATCACGAGTCGTGGGGATGGGACCTCGGGCGGAACCGGCTGTACCATGACGGGAAGAATCAGCCGAGCAAGACGTACCCTGCCTTTTTAGAGCCAGATGAAACCTTCATTGTGCCGGACTCTTTCTTGGTGGTGCTGGACATGGACGATGGGACGTTAAGCTTCATCGTGGACGGACAGTACATGGGGGTTGCTTTTCGGAGACTCAAAGGGAAAAAGCTGTACCCGGTTGTAAGCGCCGTGTGGGGCCACTGTGAAATTAAGATGCGATACTTGAATGGGCTTGACCGTAAGTACCCTGTTTTCTGGCTTGTGGGTGCCTAGTTTGTTATAGTAAAGGGAGATCAAAACATTGGTCGCTTTGGCCCTGACTGGGATAGCCCAGGCAAACCCAATTGTGTTAGATCTCGAAAGCTAAGCAGGGCCAGCCACTGCAAGTAATTGAAAGGGAGATCTCCAAGGAATACCAGGATTGGGAGGCAGAGGCAGGCAATTAAGCCACCTCTCTGAAATGTCCAAACCCCACTAGGGGTCACCAGAAGTCACCATGAGTTCCAGGCATGCAAGCACACACACACCCCTCACACAAAACTCCCCTCCACACACACACAACCTACAAAATCCACCCACAAAACCTGCACACACCCCCAACCCACCCACAAATGGGTCTCTTTGCAACAGAAACTTAAAACGGGTATTGTGTAGGTGGTTGATCGGTTTAGCAGAACGGCATTTCCCAAACCTTAAGCAAAGGGCTTTAACCGTTCCCTTTTAAAGCTTTAAATCTAGGGGCACGGTTCTTTTTCACGCAAATGGCTTCACATTCCTGAAATCCATGCCAGCAGAAGAATGTGAGAGATTAAAGTTCTTGTGAGTACTCAGCCTCAGAAAAGGCTGCTTGCGGGTCTCTGTGCGAGTTGCTGTACGGTCTTTGCTTCCTTATAATGGGCCAGGTTTTTAGCTGTCTCATATTCTTGGGTACAGCAGTATCATTCAGATTTTTCCTAATTATCTGCAGAGGGGACTCTCCTATCTCTGAATGTTTTCTTGCTCTGAACTGGTCTTCCACACCTAGAGGTTTTAGGGATGGAACTAGGGAGGGACCTCGGCAGGTTATAATGCTATAGCTCTAGGCTATAATGCTATAGCACCCTCTAAAGCAGCCATTTTCTCCAGGGGGACTGTGGAACGGATCTTGGGTGTCTGGAGATAATAGTGGGAAGGTTTCCAGGTGCCACGTAGAATCATAGAGTTGGAAGGGATCTCAAAGGTCATCTAGTCCAACCCCCTGCACAGTGCAGGAAATTCACAAATACCCCCCCACACACACACACACATGAATGTTCCCTCTCAGCTGTGGAGTCTTGTGAGCAAAAATTCTACTTTGTAAGCTGCTGGCATTAAAGTTGTGAGCGAGCGATTTGGCTACTGCATGAATCAGTTTGCTCCGGAGCCATTCTTCCTGAGCGAAGGCAAAAATGTGTGAGCCGGAGGCTAAAGAACTGTGAGCTAGCTCGCACTAACTCAGCTTAGAGGAAACTCTGCCCTACACCCACAGTGACTCCTGTTCCATGCTCAGAAGATGACAAAAAACCTCCAGGAACCCCGGCCAAACGGGCCTGGAGGAAAATTGCTTCCGGAACCCAAAGTGGTGATTGGCATTTCCCTGGGCGTGCAAGAAAGGGCCACGAGAACTAAGCGCTGAGGCAACCCTTCCCGCCCGCCCTCCTCGTGATCCGCCTAAGTTCACAGAATCCACATTGCTGTCAGATGGCCATCTAGCCTCTGTGTGAAAACCTCCAAAGAAGGAGAGTCCACCACCTCCCAAGGAAGCCTGTTCCACTGAGGAACCACTCTCACTCTCAGGAAGTTCTTCCTCATGTTTAGCCAAAAACTCTTCTGAATTAATTTCAACCCATTGGTTCTGGTACGACCTTCTGGGGCGATAGAAAAGAACTCCGCACCCTCCTCTAGATGACAGCCCTTCAGGTACTTGAAGATGGTTATCATATCCCCTCTCAGTCGTCTCCTCTCCAGGCTAAACATACCCAGTTCCTTCAACCTTTCCTCATACTTGGTCTCCTGACCCCTCACCATCTTCGTTGCCTTCCTCCGGAAACGTTCCAGCTTGTCTATATCCTCCTTAAATTGTGGTGCCCCAAACTGAACACAATTCTCTAGGTGTGAGGTCTAACCAGCGCAAAATAAAACAATACCATCACTTTGCGTGATCTGGACACTATACTTCTGTTGATACAGCCCAAAATGGCATTTGCCTTTTTCGCTGCCGCATCACACTGCCGACTCATGTTCAGTGTATGGTCCACTAAGACCTTTAGATCCTTTTCGCACCTACTACTGCTAAGAAAAGTCTCCCCCATCCTATAATTATGCATTTGATTTTACCTACCTAAATGCAGGGACTTTGCATTTATCCCCACTGAAATTCATTTACTTGTTTTAGCCCTGTTTTCCAGCCTGTCAAGATCATCCTGTATCCTGACTCTGTCTTCTACTGTATTTGCTACCCCTCCCAATTTCGTATCATCTGCAAATTTAATAAGCATTCCCTCTATTCCTTCATCCAGATCATTTATAGAGATGTTGAACAAAACAGGTCCCTCGAGGTTGGCAGGCCACTTCTCGGCAAGAGGGTCTGGCCAGGGCGTCAAGTCATGTAGAAACAGAGTAGGATCTTCTGAAGCAAATTCTTTTTTCATTTGGATGGCTAAATAAGATGTGAATTCCAGTGCGTCTTGCTAAAGAAGCATGCCTGGACAGCAGTGAGTATCGAGGGCTTCTTTTCAGTCAACTGTATTTCCCCCCAGTTCATCTTACAAGGTCCCTGGGCCTCGCCTGCTTATCTTCACACAGCAGCGGGAACGCCCTGTTAACGACAAAGGAGAGTTTGTGGGCAGAGTCCGGAGCGTGACTCGATCAGCGTCTGGTCTCCCAGGGCTTGCGGGGCCCATCTGCTTTTCAGCTCTCTCTCCTCTCCCTGCCTCGGCGTGTGGCACCGATCTCATTCCTGTTCCCGGCTTGTCTCAGCTGTAAACACTTAAAGTGAACATATTGACTTTTATTGGTCTCCAGCAAATTACAAATGGGTTTTGGCAGAAGCGCGAGAAAGCAGCCTTGTTTTCCGGAGCAGGAAGGGGGTACGGCTGGCTCGGTTCTTGCAGCCCGAGCCCTTTGGCCGATTGGCAGAGGGGGTCCGTGAAAAGAGCCTGTGGGGCTGGATTCGGCCCCAGCCTCTGCTTTGCCCACAAAGGCAATAGCTGGCAGCGGACTTTCAGTAGTACATTAGCTCCGAACGTCGAGGTTCCACTTGGGTCCACCAGTGATGGCTGTTCTCTCGGAATGTCCGTGGTCATCTTTTTAAAGCCGTCGCTGCATCCTGGACTGTTCTCCCCCCCCCCCCCCCCACACGCACACACCCCCAATATGGAGACCAGCGTTCCCTCTAAGCTGAGTTAGTGTGAACCAGCTCACAGTTTTTTAGCCTCCGGCTCACACATTTTTGTCTTAGCCCAAGAAGGGAGGGCTCCAGAGCAAACTGATTTATGCAGTAGCCAAATGCAGTAGCCAAATGTTAACGACTCACAACGTTAATGCCGGTAGCTCACAAGGTAGAATTTTTGCTTACCAGACGCCACAGCTTGATGGAGACCCCATAGGGTTTTCAGGGCAGGAGTCATTCAGAGGTGGTTTGCCACGGCCTGCCTCTTCCATAGAGAGACTGGACTTCCTTGGGACTCTCCCACCCAAATACTACCGCCGTGACCGGGATAGCCCAGGCAAGCCCGATCTCGTCAGATCCCGGAAGCTAGGCGGGGCCGACCCGGGCAAGTGTTCGGATGGGAGACCTCCAAGGAATACCAGAGTCGGGAGGCAGAGGCAGGCTGTCACGCCACTTCTCTGCCCGTCTTCAAGGTGCCCCTGGCCTCTAAATTGGTTCTGCTGCTTCAGACCAACGTGGCCGACTGCCTGGATCTGTCTGCCCGTCAGTGTCAGTCAAAACCTGGATGGCAAAGGGGAAAGTCACTGACTCTGTTCACAGGATGTGTTTGCCGTGTAAACACCTATCCGCATTGTTCCAGTGCTTTCCTTTCTGGCCCCCTGCTCCTTCAATCCTGCGTGTGTCCATGTCGTTGTGGATGGTAGAGAGGGCCCTGGAGGAAGAATGGCCCTCCAGGCAGGGTTTTGGAGCACCGTCCTGGCATGCAAAATGCAGTTCCAGGATCCAAACTCCATGGCTGCACTCAGATGTGGCAACATGACGCGGAAAGACCAGACGCAAGCAGCAAATCTCAGTGTGGGTCTAAAACCCTGGCTTTCTCCTCTCCCCTTTCCCGGAGGAGGGGTCTCCTCCCAGCTCTGTGGCCAGGCATCTCTTTAAAAGGTGGCACCAGTCAGCAAGATCACCTTGGGTCCCAACCAGTGTTCCCTCTAAGCTGAGTTAGCGTGAGCTAGCTCACCATTTTTTGGCCTCCGGCTCACACATTCTTGTCTTCGCTCAGGAAGGAGGGCTCCAGAGCAAACTGATTTGTGCAGTAGCCAAATCGCTCGCTCACAACTTTAATGCCAGTCGCTCACCAAGTAGAATTTTTGCTCAAAGGACTCCGCAGCTTAGAGGGAGCATTGGTCCCAACCAGTGCTCCCTCTAAGCTGTGGAGTCTTGTGAGCAAGAATTCTACTTGGTGGAGGAGAAAGAGGTTTTATTGTATTTAGCCATAGGCCATTACAAACCAAAAACAGAGAAAAAAATACTATGGTGAGCGACTGGCCTTAAAGTTGTGAGCAAGCGATTGGTCTGCTGCATCAGTTTGCTCTGGAGCCCTCCTTCCTGAGCGAAGGCAAAAACGTGTGAGCCGGAGGCTAAAAAACCGTGAGCTAGCTCACATGAACTCAGCTTAGAGGGAGCATTGGGTCCCAACAGCCGTTCATAAAGCCGCTTCAAGCGCTGGTTTTGAGGTCCCTGTTGGGTGCCAACCGAGCCCCTCGTTTGGGGGGCCACCTGCCTTCCAAGCTTGGAGGGAACTGGGGTCTGGCTTCGCCCGTGTTATGTGAACGCGGCCCCGGTGAGCCCAGCTGAATCGGTTTAGCTCTACGGGAGCCGTTGGCGTTGACAAGCCAGGACTGGATGTTGTGCTGGCACAGGCTCCCCCGTGGACGGGAGATCCGATTTCGCCAATGACTTCATGTTTCAAAAGCTTTCAACCTTTTTCTTTTTCTTTTTTTTTGCCTTTTCCAAGCTGGAACCGCGGTAGTTTCTGATCAAGGCTCATGTCTTGAACGACCTCAGTGGAAAATCTGTCTGGGGAGGAAACTGCAGCTGGAAACAGATCACCGGGGCGAAGTTTGCCCGGAGAAAGGCGTTTTTATGGCCCTTCTCCGTGACGTCGTCGCCGCCGGCTCAGGGCCGGCTCGCAGGTGTCCTGCCTGCAGAAGCTCTTTCAGGAAACCTTTGAGAACAGGATGCGGCGGCCTTCGGTTTCTGCCCTGGGACACGCAGCCCCGTTTTTGACGACAGCCAACGCTTGCAGCTGGCTCCGGATTGGGCCTGGCTTGTGTACTCCCGTTCCAAAGCTGTTTGCCGCACCAGGGTGTAGTGCAAGCGGGAGCCGTACAGAAACGGGTTTGAATTCCAAAGCTATGAAACTTACTGCAGAGCGATACATGGGCTGGTCCCAGATCTCCCATGCGCTGCAAAGAGCAGAGGGGTTGGAATGGCGTCGTCAGGGAGGGGCTGTGACTCAGTGGCAGAGCATCTGCTTGGCGTGCAGCTGGTCCCGGGTTCGATCCCCGGCATCTCCAGTTAAAAGGACCAGGCAGGAGGTGATGGGAAAGACCTCAGCCTGAGACCCTGGAGAGCGGCTGCCAGTCTGAGTAGACAAGACTGACTTTGATGGTCTGGTCAGGGCCGGCTCACCCACTAGGCGAACTAGGCATTCGCCTAGAGCGCCGGGCCCTGGATGGGGCGCCAAGCTGTGCCTCCTCCCTCCCCCCCTTTGGTGGCGGCGGGGGGGAAGAGGCGGTGGTGGCAGCAGTAAAAGGGTGGCTGGCTCCAGAGGTCTCCAGGTCTCCAGGCCCCACCAGGAGGTTGGCATCTGTGCCACAAGGCAGCCTCGCCTTGGGTGCAGAAACACCTCGAGCCAGCCTTGGGTCTGGTATAAGGCAACTTCATGTATTCTTCTCATGTATTCCTTGCACAGAATGAGGCAACTGAATTCAGGCCTACCCCCTCCGGGAGGCAGAAAGGAAGGGGGTCTTCTCCAGCACCTGTTACTCAACCAGTCAGAACCTTTATTGGCATATCGACAGAACATACAGCAGGGAGACAAGGATACGTCCTTTACCCTTGCAACTGGAACAGTCTTCTCCTCTTAATAGCACAACAGAGAAATTCAGCTACAGATTGTATGATCTCAGGATTATGGGAAGATAATAATGAAACGGTCTTATAGTCCTCAGATTGGCCTACTTGACTCTGATAAAGAGGTTGTAGGAAAAACGGCACGGATCTCACAGTAAAAAGAACAATACAGGAGAACAGGTTCGGTACTTTCAATCTCTCCCGAGCCACAGGCACAAAACCTTAGACGAGTATGGGATTTTCTTGAATCTCCCATACGATACAGCAGAAGGGAGAACGTTACAATGAGCTAGCACCTGTTACTCAAGATCGTTTGTCGAGTGATGTCAGGAATGGAACTCGGGGCCTTCTGCACTCCAAGGGAGTGTTTTGGAGCCCTTCTGTGAAACCAGAGAGTGTGTCTGGTTTTCCTGGGGGGGGGAGGGAAGCAAGGGAGACCCTGGCAAAGAGCTCTGGGCCAGCTTGAAATTTTGCATCTGGGTTTGATGTATCAAGTGGACCAGAAGTCACCTTTTAGGCGTTTGATTTTCAGAACCAGAGATCGAAGATGCTAGACCGGGGGAGCTGGTGTCTAGACCAGTGTGCCCTGGACTGTTGCCTGAAGCAGAACGGCTTGAATTAAGGTCGTGTTCATTGGGATATGGCTTGTGACTCTGTTGGCGGGGTTGGGTAATACATGAGGCTTTCTACTCCGTGCTTGTGTTTAATTGCTTCTCTGTGGCCGCCTAACCTAATGCTGGTACGCTGCACTGTTTTGTACGGTTGTAGTGGTTCGATGGTTGGACTTGGGTCTGGAAAACCCGAGTTCAAATTCCTGTTTTGCCGTGGAAACTCAGTGGGTGAACTTGAGCCAGTCACACAGCCTAACCCAGGGGTGTCAGGCCCCCGGAGGGCTTCTATCAGGCCCGCAGTGGAACTGGCTGTCTTCTGCTTCTTCTTCCAGTTCTTCTGCTGCTGCGTCATCGTAGTTTTGCAGCTGACAGATACACACCTGAACAGCAGACTCAAGATTGCAACAGCACAGACATTTTGATGCAGTAATTCAGAGCAAGAGGTGTCAGTTATCAGACACTGTTAAATAAACAACATATTGCAAGAGTGCTGATGTTTTAAGCATGTTTTTATTTTAAGTTAAAAAAAAACCCCTTTGTGTCCTTTATAAAGTTTATATCTTTGTTACCTTGCATTACGTTTTATGACACACATGGCCCGGCCCAACAAGGTCTCATTTATGTCATATCCGGCCCTCATAACAAATGAGTTCGACACCCCTGGCCTAACCTATCTATCTCCCAGAGTGGTAGTTGTGAAGGCAAACTGGAGGTGGGGAGAGAACATTGTTATAAACTGCTTTTGGAATAAATCTGGGTATAAATATCTAACTAGATGTATCTAATATCTAAATATCTAAAAAAGTTTGGTCGTCAGGTGACTTATGGCGGGGGACTGTCAGAGCCCCTGGAGAAATCAGTTCCCAATAACGGTCATTCAGAAGAATTAAAGTTTATTGAGACATTGATAGGATCCAGACTCATAACGTTCTTTGTTAGAACTGAGGTCAAGTGGGTGAGGCAAACAATTCTACTGCAATCAAATGAGACATTAGTGGCTTTTGACCAATTCGCACCTAAGCTGAAAGCCCGCCAAACTTAACGGCATAAAATTCCCAGGGGAAAGAGAATGCCAAAGACAGTAAAGGTCTCAACATTACATGGCTACATCAGACAGATAACAGCATAGTGGCTAGAGACGAGAGTATACATTCTGGTTCGCAACCCCCCAATGTCTCCATGACAACCAAGCCCAAGAAGGGGCACCATCTCTGTAGAGTTTTCAAGGCAAGAGACGTTTAGAGGTGGCTTGCCATTCCTTGCCCCCACGTCACAACCCTGGTATTTCTTTGGTGGTCTCTTTTCTGAATGCTAGCCAGGGCTGACCCTGCTTAGCTTCCAAGATCTGATGAGATTGGGCCAGCTTGGGCTATCCAGGGTGTTTCCACACTTGGAAGCTGTGAGAAGAGCCCCAGAGCCAACGTATCCTCCAATGCCTGGGTGTGTTTGTAATAATTCAAGTGGCGCTAGGCCTCTGTTCAAGCTCAATTCTGCGACACGGCTGTTGAGTGCAGTATTCCTGGATTCATTTTACAGCTGAATGAATTGAGGCTTAGCGACCTGCCCAAAGGTATCCAGTACATTCGTGATTGCAACCGTCTCTTGTTCAGGCATTCCAACGAGTTTCGCGACTAACGGTTTCTTTTCTCTCCTTCCCCCTGCAGCTGAGCCGTTGCCTCTGATGGACCTCTGCCGGCGTTCCGTGCGCTTCGCGCTGGGCAAGGATCGGTTGAACGAGATACACGAGCTGCCCCTTCCCGAATCCCTGAAGAGTTACCTTCTCTACCAATGACCCCACCGAGAGAGGACTTGCTTGCCCGAGAGATCCAGTTGAGTCGATCGGCCGGGTCCTCTCTGGACAAGCGGGCCCACCTCCCCGCACTTCCATCTCCTGGTGCGCGCCTTTGGCAGACGGCTGGCTCGAAGCCTGTTCCCCCTCACTATGCGAAACTAAATCAGCTGTTTTGAGAGAGCTCCTTATGCAAGTCTCGACCGGGGCAGGGGAGAAGACCGCAGCCCACCCGCATTCCAACAACTGACAAACCAGCAGAACCTCGCGATGCCATCTCTCGCCCATTCTCGGCCGCCGTCTGAGTGGCACTCTTGTTCGGTTCCCCTCTCTCAACACTGGCTGGAGAGGGGACAGGATTTGGGGGAAGACGGCCGCTAAGATTCCAGGTGCTAAGCCTCGGCTGCAGTGGAAGTTGGCGTATCACAACCGGAAGGATTGCTGAAACAGCCAGTTTTACCTCCAGTGGGCAAAACTACGAAGTTTTGCCTCCAGTGGGCAAAGCTACGAAGTTTTGCCTCCAGGGGTCAAAACTATGACAGAGGAAATCCTCCATGTGGATACGTATTTGTTCAGACAAAGGGACTGTGGAAAGGGGTCCTCCCCGTTGCAAGTGTGGTCCTTTCCCTGTGCCGGGCCCTCTTCCCATTGGGGCTTGTTGTCGCCATACCAGTTTGGTACCGACTGAAGGCCCAAAACCTAAATGCTGCCATTTTGACTGTTCTGTCTGGATATTCACTTGAACCTGTAATTCTGAGGGTTGGCGTGAGAACATCTTTGGACAGTGCCCAGATCCACCTTGCTGATGGGGCCCTGGGTTGGGATTTGCTCTTCTAGACTGGCTTCAGTTCATTGGCGTGAGCCATACCATCTCTAAGGCTGGCACTGGGTTTCCCCCTGCCCCTTACCCCTTGTCAGCTGTAACCGGGCGACACATTGGTTTTGAAACCCACGTGCTTCCTTTCTCTGTGAGTTCTGTAACGTCCCAGATGCATTCTTTGAGTCGCCGTTCTGCATTTCAATCTTTCCATCTCCTCTGCAGTTTGTGGCAAAACAGGACTTCAGCTCTTCCTTGGATTTCAAATTGGGTTCAGAGGGAGAGGAGAAACTGATCCCCTGTAGTTCTCTTCTGTTTCCATCTCAGAGGGCAGAAGACCAGGTCGCCTGCAGATCGGTCCCGCGTCCTGGTGGTTATCACGACTTGTCAGATAGCAGGACAGATTTCCAGCTGGCTCTCAAGAGACGTCTTGAGCTGCTGCTGCAAGCTGTGACCCTCCAAGAAAGGGCTTCCCCCCCACCCCCACCCTTTATGTTTAGTCATGCTGCAAATGGGTCTGAAATGCAGGTCGGCAGGGAAGGACGGGATTCTCAGTCGGTGGCTGAAATAACAGCTGTTCTAGTTTCTTGACCTGGATAGCCTAGCAAGGTGGGCGGGGAGATACCTGTAGGAACACTGCTTGGTGCAGAGTAGGGGCTGTGAGTGATCCTGGCGCGCACCGGTTGGTCTAGAAGAGCAAGTGGTCTTTCTCAAGCCATTGTCGGGGCTGTCCCGATTCAGCAAACTTCTAAGCTGCCTTAGAGGGGTAAATCTTTGCACACGTTTTTTTTTCTTCTTCTCCGGGGGAAGGAAAACACACACACTTGATTGAGTGTCTTTCACACCAGATTTGTGTTAGGGTGGAGGGGGAGGATGTCTTCTCTTTTTATTCTGTGCAGGTACAAATGGACTTGTTTGTTAGAAAATGTTTAATATATATTTTTGCCTCGGTTTGTAAAAAGGACTGTTTGGGGTTTCTTTTTTGTTTGTTTGTTTTTAAGAAAAGCTGCTGTAGGGGGTTCATTATTTGTTTGTTTGTTTTAAAGTAAAGTTGCCTATTTTTCAAAAGCGCACAGTGGGTGCCGAGTTCAGATCTGGGAGGGGACTTTGACCGGAGTCTGTTTTTTTAAAGGAAGAAAAACCTGTTACAGGGTGGGGACACTTAGAACCGCACGTTTTAAATGTGTACAGAGCCAAGAATTTTAATCGACCGGTCCTGCATGCGTCTTCCGCTGTCACCTGGAATTGGCCACATTGTCTGGTGTCTCTGGAACCACCTGCTTTCTTTTTCACCTCTTGTCTCCTGTTTAAACCCGTGGTGTGTTTGGCTTGTACAGTTTTTAAATGTCTTGATCTTTTTTCCACCCTATTGACTATAGATAATCAGTAACCAAACTGAAAAAAAAAATAAAGTTTATTAAATATTGAGAACCTGTCGTGGTTGTTCTGAGTTATTGCAGTAACGGAGTGCGTTGGAAAGGTTGCCTTTTCCCAACCTTGGCTCTTTGCATGCGGAGGGCTAGAAATGTGCTGCTTCTTTTTTTTTTAAGCCATCTCAATGCCAGAGGAAGATTTTTAAATATATATATATATTTAATTTTATATCTCGCCCTCCCGGCTAAGGCAGGCTCATGGCGGCTCACGTGAAGTATATAAAACAGCTAAAACAAAATTGAGTAAAATCATAACAATACAATCATAAAACATAACATAATATAATATAAAGTGCTAGTACAGTTTGTATCAGGAGCTGCGGTGGCTCAAGGGGTTAAGACGCTGAATTGCAGGCTGTGGAAGGTTGGTAGTTCAGCAGTTCGAGACCCGAGTGTGCCGCATGACGGAGTGAGCTCCTTCTCTAGTTCCAGCTCCTGCCAACCTAGCAGTTCGAAAGCAAGAAATTGCAAGTAGATAAACAGCGTTCCATGCGCCTTGGTGTTTCGAGCAAGGGAACCTTTACCTTTACCTTACAGTTTGTATCAATATGGCAGGCAGATGGTGCTTGAGTAAAGGGAACAAAAGACAAACTTTCATCCTCTAGTCCTGACCTGGATAGGCCAGGCAGGCCCGATCTCATCAGATCTCGGAAGCTAAGCAGGACCGACCCTGGCAAGTGTTTGGATGAGAGACCTCCAGTGAATACCAGGGCCGGGAGGCCAGAGGCAGGCGATTAAGCCACTTCTCTGAATGTCCTCCGTGCCCCAGTAGGAGTTGCCAGAGGTCGCTATGACTTCCAGGCACAGGCACACTCACATGCGCGCGCACACATGCACAAAATGCAAAAATATCCCCCCCAAAACCCTCTGTTTCTGCCGAGGAAGCTCAGGGCGAGGTTTGAGGGCCAGTGGTTGCTACAGCCAATTTGGTGTAGTGGCCAGTTTGGTGTAGTGGTTAAGAGCGTGGACTCTAATCTGGGAGAGCTGGGTTTGAGTCCGCACTTCTCCGTATGGAGCCAGCGGGGTAACCCTGGGTCAGTCACATGTTCTTTCAGAGCTGTTCTCTCAGGAGCAGTCCTCGAAAGAGCTCTCTCAGCCCCACCTACCTCACCGGGTGTCTGTTGTGGGGAGAGGAAGGGAAGGAGATCGTAAGCCTCTCTGAGACTCCCGAGTGAAGGGCGGGGTACAAATCCAATCTCTTCTACTTCATTAAAATTATGTGTTGGGCGGAGAAAGTGGATAGAGGAGACGTTCTCTTTCGTTACAGGATTCAGGCAGGGGCACCCAATGAAGCTGACAAGCGATAGGTGTGAGACCGACAAAAGGAAATACTACTTTACTCAGTGAGTAAGTGATGGGATTTGCTGCCAGGGGAGGTAGTGAGGGACAGGAATGTAGATGGTTTTTAAAAGGAAGCGGTGACTCAAACAAGAGAGGTCCATCGATGGCTACTTGCCATGGTGACTAAAGGTTACCCCATCAAACCTTTGACTATTAGTGCTAGCAGGTAACATCAGGGAAGTGGCTAGGCCTCTATCCTCAGTTGGTCTGGTCTCCCGGGGCAACTGGTTGGCTCCTGTGTGAAATGGGCTTCTTAGATCCCTGATCGGATTCAGCAGGTCTTCCTTCCTTCCTTCCTTCCTTCCTTCCTTCCGCTTATATACCGCCCTGACCCCGAAGGGTCTCTGGGTGTTTTACATAGTAATTCTAATCACATTCACCTAGCTAGGGCCACATTGTTTCTGGGGTAGTGTCTGCCTACCAGCACCCAGGCTAGTTCTCCAGCTTCCTTTCCGCAGCGTCGGATATCGGCGTCCTGGTGCCCTCCTGGAGCCGGTCTTTCCTTTCGAGTGGCTTCCTCCGGTAGGACTAGTTTTGTGTGTGGCTCCGTGTTGGCTGTAGCTCCAGCTACTGTCCTAGATGGCTCCACCGTGCTTGCGCAGCACGTCACCACGCTCTCCAGCCTCCGCCTTTTTCCGGGCTCTGCCTCCGACGTTGCTCTGCTGGGTCACCAGGAACTGCCCCGCCGCCATCGCCACTCTGCCGCCAACGCTGCCGCTGTTGCCTTCGCCTCGCAAGGAGGAGGGTGCCCCCTGCCGCCTAGGGCAGGTACCCAATTTATCTACTTGCCATTTTTTAATGCTTTCGAGCCGCTGGGTGGGCGGGAGCTGGGACTAGGGCCGGGATGTTACTTGCAGGCGTTCTTACTGCCTGTGCCACCACTCCCTTTATGTCCGTGTTATAGGGTTGCCAATCTCCAGGTGGGGCCTGGAGACCTCCCAGAATTACAGTTGCACTCCAGATGACCAAGATCAGTCCCCTTGGAGGAAATGGCTGCCGTGGAGGGTGGACTCTATGGCATTGTACCCCTCCGAAGTCCGGTCCCTCCCCTCCCCAAAGCCTTGCCCTCTCCAGCGTCCACCCCCAAAATCTCCAGGAATCTTCCCGAGCCAGAACCGGCAACCCCGTGACCTTGTGTCAAGACTTCAACCGCCTTCCTGCTTCTGCCTCTGCATGCGGACTAAGCCGGGCCAGGCAGCCGGTGAGAATGCCACAGGTGGAATCAATCAGCCTAGGTTCCTGTTGGAGCAGGTAGCGGGATTGAGGGTGGCTGGGGGGGGCGCCTTTATCCAGGACCATATGTGGGCAAACTCCGCTCCCCCCCCCCATTCCGTTCTCCTTCACGCTTTCGGCTGGAATGCGGCTTCGGCTGGGCCGTAAACTGCCTCGGGAGAAGTTGGGGTGGGGGGAGAGCATATTTTGTCCGCATTCGCTTCCAGACACCCAAACAGGCGCTCGGGCCAGCTGCTGCGAGCAGCTGTAATCAATGACCTCCTTGCCGCTGGTGGTGTTTATGTACATTGCTGTGGCAACCGAGGCAGGCCGAGCATGAGCCGGGAGAGGGGGGGGGGGACCAGACTCCGTGCAACTTGGTTCAAAGTTTATTGCATGTAGCCAATGGCCATCACAGTATAAAAGATTAAAAAAACAGTACAAAGATTGGCAATACATTTAGGAGAAAATTAAAATATATAGATGAAGTATGAATGTAAGTTTTAAAATCAGGTTTCTCAAATAGTACATCCTGAGCGTGCAACTTGAGCAGGAGGCTGCGGCCTGTCTGCTGAGCCCGACGGGCCTGCTGGGTTCTTGGGGGCTTAAGCCAGCCTGGGATGCTGCTGGAAATGGTTCTGCTGGCTTGAGGGGTGGGTCTCCTAACAAGGCCCGTCTCTTTGATTCAGGGTCCTGGTATATCTCCTTGGGAGCCTGTTTTCTGCCTGGCTTGATCAGGATGTGATGGGGACGCAGCCGGGCTCCAGGTGGGGCCTGTGGGTTGCCCGGAGTTACAACCGATCAGCTCCCCTGGAGAAAATAACTAACAGTAATTTAAGGAAATGGATGGACAGATATGAATCATATGTGACTTAACATCACATAAGGCTCCAAATATTTCTCAAATATGCATCAATCTTCAATATGTGAAATACATGAGCTGCAGTGAATAGGCTGGAGATTTAAAGCAATATCTAACATTTACTATTTGACACTCCCAACCCAAAAGAAAGACTTCGCAGATTCTCAATCCCCAATTTCAATGGACTGCCAAGCATAATCTTCAGATGTCCATCAAGCAAGTACATACACTTCTTAAGACTTAAGATAAACAATATTAAACAATAAACAGCATGTTATAAACAGCAAGTAGATCCAGTCCTTAAGACTCCAGGTGGGGCCTGTAGTAACGCTTCCTCTAAGCTGTGGAGTCTTGTGAGCAAAAATTCTACATTGTGAGCTACTGGCATTAAAGTTGTGAGCAAGCAATTTGGCTACTGCATAAATTAGTTTGCTCTGGAACCATCCTTCCTGAGCTAAGACAAAAATGTGTGAGCCGGAGACTAAAAAACTGTGAGCTAGCTCACACTAACTCAGCTTAGAGGGAACACTGGCCTGTAGGTTGCCCGGAGTTACAACCGATCTCCAGTCTTACCGAGATCAGCTGCCCTGGAGAAAATGGCTGCTCCGGAGGGCCCGCTGAGGTCTCTCCTCCCCAAATCTCACCCTCCTCAAGATGTACCCCCAAATCTCAAGGAATTTCCCAGCCAAGCCCTGACAATCGTACGATCTGTGACGCATCTCAAGGCTGTCTCTAGAAATCCCCTCAATGGGCACTATGCCTTCCCATTTTTGTGTCAAGTAGGGAAGCAAGGTCCTTCTTTTCTGTAACAATTCCTCTGGCCTCGTAACCAGCACCGACGGAAGGAATTACCTAGTTTTAGTATTCGCATCAGTGTAAATTTGTACAGATGGCAGAATTAAAATCTCCTGGGTGCTTAAAGTAGCCCTGTTTGGTGTGGTGGTTAAGAGCATGGACTCTAATCTGGGAGAGCCGGGTTTGATTCCCCACTCCTCCATGTGCAGCTGCTGGTGTGACCTTGGGTCAGTCACAAGTTCTCTCGGAGCTGTTCTCTCAAGGGCAGTTCTTGAGAGAGCTCTTTCAGTCTCATACGCCTGTTGTGGGGAAGGGAAAGAAGATCGTAAGCCGCTCTAAGACTCCAG